GTTGTTTTCTTTTTTGGATTGTTTGCTCTGTGTGATTTTGTATGGTTGTGTTTTGTTCTGTATGATTTCATATGAAATCCAGGATAGGCAGATCTATGGAGACAATAACTGAATAGTGGCAGAAATGGAAGGGGGGTGGGGGGGGGCAATGGGGAGCTAACAAGAGTATGCTTGAGAAGGAAATGATCTGAAATTGACTGTGGTCATGATTACACATATCTCCTTTTTTATAATCATTTTATTGGGGTCTCGTACAACTCATCACAATCCATCCATCCATCGTGTCAAGCACATATCTTCTTAACATAGTTGAGCACTTAAACTGTATTATATGTGAAGCATATGCCAATCAAACTACTTGAGAAAAAGCAGGAAATGGGGAGCAAATAACAATGAGTACAAGAAAGAAGAAAATGTTCTAAGACTGATTGTGGTGATAATTACACAACTCTTTTTAATATGCTCGAATTCTTGAATTGTATGAGATGTGAAGTATATGTTAATAAAACTGTTTAAAAGAAAGAAAAATGTGCAAAAGGTGTGAATCTACTATAGTAACCTAGCTTGACATAAGGAATTCCATTTTGTTTCAAACTGCCTTTAACCGCTGCTGGCAAATGTCCCACCTTCTCCTCTTCCCTCTCCAAACAAGACCTTGAGTCTTCTTGACCCATTTCTCCTCATTGAATGTGATTTTCCAGATTCAACATTGTTTCTCCATTCCGCTTAATACCTTCTCATCATCACATAGCTAATGATATATAAAACAATTCCATGTTAAAGGAAAAAACAAATATTATGCTGAAAATGCCTCATCCTTCCACTAAGCTCCCATATATTTCAAATGCTCCAGTATTTGGGGCGTGGGGTGGGGGAGAGGTTTTATAAAAATCAGAACAGAGGTGTCAATGTAAAATTTTAGGAGGCTCTCTTATTTATTTTCTAAAAGCCCTCTGCCACAACACCAACACCCCAGAACAATAAAACCCTCCTCTCAACCCCAGGCCGGACTCCTGCTTCAGGGTTTATTAACAAATGCCTGCTCCTCCTTGTGTTGACACCAGCAGATGAGCTCCCATCCCAGACCAGGTCTTCTGGCTCTCATGCCAAGTTTTCCATTCGGAAGAGATAAAGTAACAGCTGGTATTAAATACTTTCCAGTGCTCTGGGCAGCAGGCCCAACCTTTCTCTGGATTGGGAAATGAGACAAAATTGCTCTTTTAGGAATTTAAAAAAAATACCATTTATAAGTAAATATTTGTTTTTGTGAGTCTTTGTTTTACAAAATATTGTCCATGGAGAAATGAGCCTGCTGGCATATGGGACTAGGCATTTAGCTACTAACCACGAGGTCACAGGTCCAAACCCACCTGTTCACCTACAGGACAAAGATAGGGCTGTCTGCTCCCATATGTCTCTGAAACCGAAAGGGGAAGTTCTAGTCTGTCTTATAGGGTCTCTATGAGCTGGAGTTGTCTCACTGGCAGTGAGTTTGGTTTTTGGAGTTTTCCACCAGAAAGTTAATATAGTTGGGCTGACTCTAACAATAAGGTTGACAGTTCAAATCCACTAGATAAGGTGCTTCTGTAAAGATTTGAGCCTGGGAATCCCACATAGGGTCATTATATGTCTGAATCTGCTCAGTGGCAGTGGGTTTGGTTTTTCTGGTTTAAATATCGACTTAGAATGTTCCACTTCCAGTTAGCCTGCCTCCAGCCTCCTCTCTTGAGTAGCCTCCAATCAGGGCATTTCTGAGACCTCTTTTTCCCGTTTTGAAGCTTTCCAACTCCTTCCCTGCCTTTGAGTCTCTGCCAAATCACTAGTGATGGGTAGCTGTCTCCCTGGTTGCAACAAAGTCTGAAGAAATACCCTTTGCTTGTTCCCATTTTGGTGGCCTTCATGTATTTTCACAGGTCTCCGCTGCCATTAGAATCCCTGGTGGTGCACCGTTTAAGTACGGGGCTGCAAAATAGAAAGTAAGTGGTTTGAATCCACTGAGCACCTCCACCAAATAAAATATCTGGTCATCTGCTTCCATAAAGATATACAGCCTAATAAATAAATGAGTAAATAGATGAGATAGTTAAGGTTTATTGTGACAACCTGGCCACTAAACACATGTGGGGTTAATTGAAAGGAGGCGAGATAAATGACTTGGTGAGCCTCGCCTTCCTAATTCTCAGGTCTCTTGCTCTCTGATGGTTGGACCAGGGTGCAGCTGCCTTAGCCAGTTCCCTGCTTCAGCTTGCAAGGCTCACTTCCCTGAGGAGAAGCCACATGGACCTACCCCAATGCAACCCTGGGTGCTGGAGCAGCCGCATAGAGACCCCTGCCAGTGCTGAGATGCTTACATCCTCACTGATTTG